TTTCTCAGTCTCCCCCAGTCCCAAGGTCAGGCCTGTTTTACAACAGTGGCACCATGCAGTATTTGTCCTTTTGTGACTGAGATACATTACTCAGCATAATGTCCTCCAAGTTCAACCATTTTAAATAATATTGCAAGAGTTCCTTGTTTTTCCAATGCAACATAGTATTCCATTGTGTGAATATACCACAGCTTCTCTATCCACTTATTTGTTGATGGGCACTTAGGTTGTTTCCAACTCCTTGCTATTGCAAACAAAGCTGCAGTAATGTATATATCTGCTTGGATGGTAGCTATGGTCTCTTTAGGGTATATTTCCAGTAGTGGAATTGCTGGGTCAAATGGTATCTCTATTTGCAACTTTTTGAGAAAGCGCCATACTGCCTTCCACAGTGGTTACAAAGAAGTTTTGCTGCAATCCCAAAGGCACATGGTTCAAAGCTACCACCTGCTCCATGGGAGAAGGGTGGGTATTCTCCTTCCGTGTGATCTACTGCCTCTGCCAACCTGCTGAAAGATCAGTGATGGTTGGGTTCCAGCCAAAGGACACACAACAACAGCAACAGCAGGCCAAAGGGTGGTGGCCCAGAGCTCGGGCTCTGGAGTCAAGGTGTCCAAGTTCAAATTTCACGTGCTCTTATCTGTGCATATGGGGCCAGTCATTAGCTGCCATGGGCTCAGCCCCATGACAAGGAATGACACACTGACCAATCCCGACTGTCTTCGCAGATCAATGGAACCGAGACATTGCGATCTGTTTTCACTAGCTGATTTTTCAAAAGTCACCAGGCCTTTCTTCCTAGTCATCTTATAGAAAGTTCCCCTGAGACCTATTTAGCAACACTGACAAATGAATGAGGGTTATCCATAAGGTTCACTGGCCTACAGACCTAGGTCTTCCTTGTGGAAGGTGAGAATACTACTACTGAATCCTGCAGGAATGTAAGCATACTATTGAAACTCTTTGTCTCTCAGTGTATCCATCTGTAAAATGGGATAACCATTGTATAGACCTCATGGGGTTACTTTAGAGAAGATGCTAGTATCTTAAAGCATGTTATCTATTACTGGTTTTATTTGTGTGTTGCACATGCATGCATACATTCATCTGTGTCACCCAGTACACCTCCCCACCCAGCTCTGGAGAGATGAGTGGACTGGCTGACAGATACTGAGGACAGTGTGTGACTCCACGTCTCAGATGATGGAGGTGGCTGAGGGTGACAGAAGATCTGTCTCTCTACTCAGAGCATCACATCTGCATCTCAGCCTCCCATCCTCCCACCCTGGAGGTGTCTGCCTGTGCCATATCAGTTGACTGGTCTTTGGGGAATAAGGAACTCTGTGTTTGGTAAGAACTGAAGCTGAAAGAGAAGGCCCTCACTTGTCCTCAGTGAGCCCACTTGTGGTGGTTGAGATGTGCACATCACAGTCCTATCGGGTCACATTCTTCTACAAGTGTCCATAAAATAGGGAAATTCTGATGTCTGTTAGAGTCTCAAAGCAGTAAAGCTCAGGAAGGAAATATTGTTCATCAGAAAGCATCAGGAGAGACTAAAATTGGTTAAAGGGAACAAAGGACCTTTCACCCCTGGTCAGGCCCTGGGTGGGTAGAAGGATGCAACGACCTTGAGATAGTCTAAGTCAGACCTTTCCTTCTGCAGCCAGTCACTCAAATACCTTTCCTTCTCTTTTCTGGTTCTGGGGATGCAGGAGCCCTCTGTCTTCATGGACTTTGAGGTCCAAAGAGAGATAATACAACCTTGCAGTGTTTTGACTGAGGTTTTACAGGAGGACTAGCATGTCCAGATATGGGACAACACAGAAGCTTCCTGCAGGAGGTGGCATCTAAATTAAATGCACAAGAATTCATTTGGCCAGGAGGTGGCAGGGGAAGGAGGTGACAAGAGTAGCTGGGACAAGAGGCTGTCAGTTTCTGCAGATGTATTATTGCAACCACATGAACTTTTGAAGTCCTCTTCTGGTGAGGTCACCCACTGGGGAATACTCACAAGAGACATACGCATCGTCACGTCTCTGGCCCCTCCAGTGGTTTAGCCATACACCTCTTTCCTAAACCTCCTTGTTGCCAATTTTCCAACCATGTTCCTTCCAAGCTCCTGACCATTTGCTTAAGCCACTGGCCACAGCTAGGAATCAGAATATCACACATACCTCTTCCTCATACCTCCTTGTTACCAATTTCCCAGCCATGTTCCTTCCAAGCCCCTGACCACCCACTGGAAACACTGGCCACAGCCTTGAATCAGTAGACCACACACCTCTTTTCCATACCTCCTTGTTACCAATTTTCCACTCTTGTTCCTTCCACGCCCCTGACCATCAAGGTAAACCACTGAACACAGCCAGGAATCACGATACAATTGCACATCTGGCTGTCTCTCCTTCTAAGACATATTGACAATGAAGCAAGAGGTACATTGCTCAAAGTTTTGCTCATTGGGAGGATTGCCCATCACCACTCTTCTTTAGGAAGATTCCAGAAAGAGCCTACAATGATGCTGCTGTCTATTTTTTAGGGATGTCTGCTTACAGTACATGGTGTTGTGGTGTACCATCGAGTCGGAACCAACCTCTAGCTGACCCTCCAGAGGGTTTTTAGAGGCAGTAAATCACATGGGAGATTAAGGAGCAGTTAGTGGATTCGAACCATATGCTTTTGTAATTGTAGCACAGCTTCTTACCACCAGAATACATTATCTGTAAGTCAGGTGTTTGCTTTCTTAAGTCAGCTGATCATAAAGACCCTCTGTGAGATAATAGGTGGTAACTAGAAGGCAGAAGGTAATGTGACAAGAGTGAGTACCCTGAGCATCATGTACTGTGCCTGTCCCAGCAGGTTCTGCTGAAGCTGACCTCACAGGTACCACTTCCCTTTAATGATGGAGCACTGCTGTGTGTATCTGACTTTATGACTGTGAATCAGACAACGCCCAGTTCATGGTGAGCATCTCAGACCACAGAGAGGTTTGGGACCCACAGTTAAGAGTTCAGTCTGAATGAAAGAATCTTTTCTTTTACTTTTCCATAATTTTTGGACTCATGTACTTATAACTTGTTAGTCAAATTTGTGTCTTCTAGGTTGCAACAC